AAATAAATAAAAATAAATAAATAAAATATAGGAATGAGGTCAAGAAAGAAAAGGCAGAAAATGAACTTAGGTAACACAAGAGGCAAAATCCAGCAAGAAATGTTTCTTCAAACATGCCAACAGCAGGAAGACACAAGGAGGTGGTGGACTACTTCTTATGAGAACTCTTAACAGATGACCAAGAGAAAACATAGGAACATTTTGTTTGTCTTTACATCCAGAGGAAACACAGTAGGAATCTGAGTTGCACCAACTATAACAAAGGCAACAGGAGGGATTCAGGTCAGCAAGATGTGATAAAGATCTTCTAGGTAATATGAATCTTTAATAAAATATACCCTAGAATACTGAAGGAACGGATCAAAAGGCTACTGGGACTTCTGTCAATTATCTTTCAGGTGTTCTGGAAAACTTCAGAAGTGCCAGAAGCAAAAGCACCTCCCACCCTTCAAGAAAGGGGGGGGGAAGAGGATCCTAGTAATTATTGATCAGTGAGCCTCACACCAATACCTGAAAGATATTACAGCAGATAATGAAATAGGCCATTTGTAAGAATCTTGAAGGCAATGCCACAATTGCTAAGAGTTAACGTGGCTTTGAGTCACGTGAGACAAATCTCTTCTTCTCTAACAACATAACTAGTACACAAAGGGAATGTTGTGATATCATCTACCTCAAAGCTTTTCGCAGGGTTACACATATTTTCACTGAGAAGCTGTTAAAGTATGATTTGGATGGCACTACAGTAAGGTGGATCCACAACTAGCTAGCTAACCAAACTTTAAGAGTCAGGATTAATGGGTCTACATTGAAGAGCAGTAAACAATAGCATCCTGCAAGGATCTGTCTTCAGACTAGTATTATTCAACATTTTTATTAATGATGTGGATCCTGGGTTCAGCGTTCCCATGAGATCTTCGACAAAGTCAAAAAAATGAGCATGAAATGCTATGCACGTCTACTCAAGACTAAGCACTATTAAGTTCAACAGAGCTTACTGCCATTAAAGAGTATATATTAGAATGCAACCGATAACAGAAAAGATCCCAAAGTGTTAAAACAGGACTGTTTTTTATTTTGTTTTCAGATGGAGATATATTGAACTGACAACTGACTCTCTTTTAAAATTGCTTGTGCCTTGTGTTGATATCCAAACTTTTTAAATTCCTATGTGAACTTCCTAAGCTTACCTTGCATCATTTCTCTAATTGATACTGGAATGTGACATTGATTCTTATTTATTTATTTATATTTCAAATTTGTCACCACCCATCTCACTGATTGATTGATTAGCTCTGTTACTATACTTGCTAAAACTGAATTTGACATTGTTGTATCTTACTTTAAAAGTAAAATTGCTACTCTTCGATTTAAATAAACTGATAGCTTTATCAGGGAAAAGCAAACTGTGTTAGAAGGTGCTGTTGTTTTGTTTACATAAAAACAAGCATGCTGTGATATTATGTCTCTGAAAGTATGGCGTGATAAGAAGTAGAATCTGGCAAAGGAGTAGAATCTGGCAAACATCAAGGGATTAATAGGATGATGGGGGGGAAACTGAGAATGGCACAGGTTTTCACATATTTTTTTACTTTAAATTGCATGTCATAGGGTCATAGGGCCAAAAATAAAACATCTTCTCCATCAATCATAATGATCACAAATTGGAAAGTTGCCTGAAGCAAAGTTGAATTATGGAGATCCTGTCAGAAGCACCAGGAAGGCAAAAACAAGGAAGAACTGGGACCAATGAAAGCTGGGGACCTTTAAGGAACTGAGGGTCTAATGACAAAAAAGTGCATTAATTACACCTGCTGGGCAGAGGAAAACATACCATCTATTTCTAGCCATGTGCCTTGTCCTCTTAACTGGACTTTATGGATCTTTTCATTTATTTTCC